CCTAATTATCATCGCCTTCCTATCCTCACCTGTCTCTCATCATTTTCTTTCATCACAAACCAACTATTTCATCTACACAAGTTTTATCCCAACATATTTGTAGATATAAAATAAATATACAATTTGAATCAATTAAAACATATATAAAATCATTCATCCAACATAGACAGAAAGTATTCAGATAATATGCACACATAAGACGTAATTTATATAAAATACTTCATATCTATGTGTAAGATGAAAGTAACTATGCACTCACTTGAAAAGGCGCTGACTCAGCACTCGGACATCACTTCGTTACTCTTAACACAATTTTCCTTTGACAAAACCTAATATCATTACCATTAGAGTTTAGTTTAATGCTCGACGAAGCTAATTAATAGTCTAACTATTATTACTATTATATAAGCATTAACACAATACTTTTCACCCACTATGTACAGACAGGAGCCAGACATGGAACACCGGAGGGCAGGATCATTTTGGCATATAACACTTCTGAAATCCAGCAACCCAAGCATCCCTCCAAACCAGATTCTTCGTACCGCAAGTGGTTAAAAAGATATTATAACAACACTTACATAACTCATAATAATAGTCCAAATATTTATTATAAGTACCTAATAACATTACTATATTTAAATAAAAACTATATTTAAAATAGCGTAAGTGTATCTCACCTACGAGAGGGTTTGGCTAGAAGCTGGGCTCTGCAGGGGCAGAACCTCTGAGCCGAAAGCTCTTCTTATCGGAGTCGTCGAGCGCTCCAGGGCTTTCTTCTAGTGCTAGGGGAGTTTTGGGAGGTTTAGAGAGAGAGTGTAGAGAGAAGAAAGAATGATAAATGTGTGAAGAAAATGAGGGTGAGAGAGGTTCTATTTATAGGGTGAAATATGACTGAAATTGGTGCCATATGTCACCATCTGATGGCAAGACTTGGGGAGAAAGCAATGGCCAAGATTGTGCCACGTCACCCTTTTTCGCACAATACACTTCCGGCTTCTAAAATCCGTAACTTTCGCATACGAGCTCCATTTTTGACGTTATTTATATCCACACGTAGGTAAAAATAAGATCTACAACTTTCATGCGGACTCCGTTGGCTAATTCCCGACCGGTCTTAAATTTAACAGTATGAGGTGATTATACTGTTAAATGACCGGGAAATATTCGTAACTCTTTCATACAGACTCTGTTTTCGTCCGTCTTTTTATCGTTGACTTCCTATTAATGAGATCTTCAACTCTCATTTAGGCCGCGTAGGCCAAAAATTGCTCGATCTAAAATTCGAGTGTAACACCCAAAGTTTCAAAGGCCAAGAAAGGAAAGAAAAGCCCAAATTTAAGGGTCGACTCGGCGAGTCCAAGGAAGGACTCAACGAGTCCGAGCGGGATCCGAGCCAAGGTGTAAGTGGCCAACTCGGCGAGTCGGCCAAAGAGACTCGGCTAATAGGGTCTGTGCGAGGAAAACCTTAAATCCGGGACTTGGAGCCTATTTAATCGCCTCATTCTTCTTTCTAGTGCTCCTTTACTGTCCCTCACACCCAAAACGCCGCACCCTAAGCCCCCATTGTGCTCATTCATGCTTTTGGCCATTTTTGAGTGATTTAAAGGAAGAAGAAGTGGGAATCTTTGAAGCATCAAGGAGTGGCTTTGGATCCGAAGTTTGGGGATCATTTCAGAGCATTTGAAGGTATTAAGTCGTTTCTCTCCTCCAGATTTTCCTTGGTTATGAGTTTTGGGGCTTTTAAGCCATGTTTGAAATCCATCTCGAGCTTGAGGTCCAGATCTGAGGTTGCTACCTCAGATCCATGCTTGTTTTGGTCTATAATTCCGTAAAGTATCAGCCCTTGAGTGGACCATGGAGTCTTTTTGCCTTAAGCCCTAGTTTTTGGCATGTTTTGCTTAGATCTCCTTCTCTACACGTAAAGTTTGCAACTTTACATGTGGAATAGGCTTGGGAAGGGTAGATCTACAGTTTGCAGTCCATGCATAACTCTAAAATCCTATGCATGTAAGGAGATTTGAAGGGACTCGGTGAGTCCTTTGAGTGGACTCGGCGAGTAGCATGAAGTTGTGGAGAAACTCGACGAGTGGGATGAGCAACTCGTCGAGTCGTATGAAGATTGCCTTGTACTCGGCGAGTCAGGTCGCGAAACCCCAAACCCTTTGAGTTGTGACTCGAATCAGTGAGTCGGGTGGAGGCTCAGTGAGTTGGACAGGTCTGGACTCAGAAATCGGTAGACTCGGCGAGTCATGGACTGACTCGGCGAGTCGAGTCAGGAATGGAAGGAATCTGATCATTTCGAACTCGGCGAGTCAGTAGGGTGACTCGGCGAGTAGGGTTGACCTGGAAGGTTGACTTTGACCAGGAATTTGACTTTGGACCAGGGTGGACTTGGTTGTCTTTCGGGGGCCAGTTAGACTCAGTGTTGCATTGATATTGGTAGTTCGGGGAGCAAGAGGAGCAGGAGTTCCGTGAGTTGTCAGGCAGCAACTAGTGAGATCATCAGCAGGGTTCAGCCAGTGCAGGTGAGTTTCCCTTTGTGTGAATGGGTCTAAGGCCACAATGCCGGCCCATGTAGTTATGAGTAGAAGACCCGGGGGTTAGCCCTAGGCACAGTATGCTAGTATTATTTTCAGGACGAGGTCCAGTAATAGCGGGCGGGTGCCCAAGGAATTGTTTATATGATAGTTTATACTTGTTGTCTGTATGATACATGTATGTGCCTGGTAGGGAGGTGAGTGTGGGCGAAAGTCCCGTATCTCACCAATAGGAGAGTGTGGATGGGGTTCCATATCTCATTAGTAGCAGAATAGGGGCGAGGCCCAAACTAGAACAGGAGTGGGGAGTGGGCTAGGCCCGTACCTCACTACCATTAGTAGCGTGGACGGGGTTCCATGACTCATCAGTAGCAGGACATGGGCGAGGCCCAGGATAGGCGAGGCCTTAGGACAGGACCAGTTGCATGTGTTAGTTATGTGTTATTATTTGTTGACGGGCGAGGCCTTGTGACAGGCGAGGCCTAAGTAAAACAGATCTGTATCCGAGCGGGGCTCGAAGCCAGACGGGGCCTGGAGCGGCGGGGCCGTTGTAGCGGGCGAGGCCCGAGGTAGGGGGCGAGGCCCAAGATAGGGGGCGTGGCCCAGTATGTGCAGTATGTGGTTATGCATGGTATGTGGTAGGGCGGGGAACTCACTAAGCTTCGTGCTTACGGTTTTCAGTTTTGGTTTCAGGTACTTCCGGTAGCGGAGGGAAGAGCTCGGGGTGATCGCATGGCACACACCATAGATTAGACAGCTTTAGGAATGTTTACTCTGATAATGAACATGTGTTTTGAAAACTTATACTCATATTATGTTTTGGAATGATGACTTTACTTTAAGTAATGATTTATTAAAAGAAATTTTTGGTCTTGGGGCCGAACAGCTCGAGGAGCGGATGAGAGAGTTGGTATCAGCGGGGGTTATGCGTAGTATTCTAGCTCAGACTCCTGTGATCTTTGGCACGATCAAGGAGGGTATATTGGAGATTTTGGATAAGAGGCTGGGAGCCTTCCGTACTGAGATGATGGCTTTGTTGGGAGCGCGTACCTTGACATTTCGAGAGTTTAGGGCTTGCGGGGCACCAGATTATCATGGGGCTAGGGACCCCATCGCTAGCAGCAGATGGTTGGCTGATGTTGCCAACGCATTCCGTACGAGCCGGTGTCCTGAGGAGGACAAGGTCAGACTCGCTTCCTGTCTTCTGAAGGACAGAGCGAGGGATTGGTGGGAGGAGATTGGTCACGCTTTGGGTGATGATGCCGCGTTGGATGCGATGACTTGGAGTGATTTCTAAGCAAGGTTTAGAGCAGAGTTTTCGCCGATTATTGAGGTGCAACAGTTGGCCCGGGAGTTTCAGGATTTGACGCAGACTACTGAGACTGTGGCGGAGATCACCGCCAAGTTCAGGGAGAGAGCCCTTCTTGTTCCGCAGTATGTCGCAGATGAGGAGATGAAGAAGGCACGATATCACGAGATGCTGAGGGATGACATCAGGGAGTTCGTAAGCAGGTCCGGCTGTAAGACGTTGGAAGACATGATTTCTCGGGCCAGGGAGAGGGAAATTGATTTGGAGCAGATCCGGAAGAGGAAGCCGGATGAGGTTTAGGTAGCCGCGAGTTCGGGCAAAAGGCCCAAGGGATCGGAGTCGAGATTGAGGGATTATCAGGACTGCAGTCGATGCGGAAGGTGTGGCAGGACGCACGGGGGCGCGTGCAGGAGTGGTAGTGGTGGTGAGTCTGGCTGTTTCAGGTGTGGTCGGACTGGTCACTTTAGCAGAGATTGTACTGATACCATCACTCAGGGATCAGACTTGATATGTTTTCACTGAAATCAGCGGGGCCACAAGAAGGCCCAGTGCCCCAGTTTGTTTTTAGCAGGACGGGTGATGGCACCCGCCCCTGCAACTTTGAGGATCACAGACGGCCGTCAGGGCCGTGCGGAGGCGCCTGCAGTAGGAGGCCGGGCTTTTCAGATGGCTACTTTGGAGATGCAAGCAGCACCGGACGTTGCAGGTATGCGACTTCCATTTTCAGTTCTTTTATCTTGTGCATGATTATATTGTTATGGTTCTGCATCATTATCTGTATGAGTATTTTATTTTTGAGCGGGTTGACTTCGATCGTGTTATATGCCATTTTCATACCTTGGTTATTGGTTAGTAATTAAGGGATGGGTTGTATCGAAGAAGGTTACTTTGGGTGCAGTATCTGTAGCATGAATTGGAGAGACTCGGTATGTCTTGCTAGTTCGGAGCCGTATAAGTTTTAGAAAGGACAGGTTAGACCCTTAGCTATGGTAAGCTTGGAATTCCTCAGCGGATTGATTATGGTAGCAAGGATTGGGATTTCTCTTCATCGAGCATCGAGGTGTAAGCAGGATCAAAGTGGGGGAGAATCCTCCGAGTGTATAAGGGTAAGGGCACGCAAATCCAGATCGGGCATATGATTTCTGAGAAGGAAAGGAGGTAGTTCAGCGTTTGGCGGATTCAGTAGTTCAGGGTTGGGAGTTTGAGAACTTCCCATCAGTGCGTGCGCGTAAAGTGTAATGGTGGGTATGTGGTTCGGAT